TTCAGTTTTACATGATATGCATGGTCCTTGTGTTGTAGGGGATTTTTTTTTTGAAGAATTACATACTTATAACACTGCTCAGAGACATACACACACACATCCACTTGGTGAAAGGGGCAAACAAAGCAGAGATATAGCAGTTTGGAAATCTACAAGGTTCAAAAGTCTGCAAGATTCTCTTTAAAAAGTTACTAAGCACCACGTGAATGATCGGTTTACTTTTTAAAGAAAATCCTGCAGACTTAAATTCTCTTAAATTTATTTCTATTGCAGTTACTTTGACAAACTACTTAACCACAAAGCAAAGATGCCAATTTTTGCCACACAAGCATCCACCACTGGAATACTCGATTTACAATATATGCCATACACCAAACAATATTTTAAGGCATCTCTCATAACAGCTAATACTTGGGGGAGGGTAGGGGTTGAGGGGAACAGACATGGGATGACACAGATAGAGGGGACAGCAAAAAAAAAAAAAGTGGCGCTCAACAAGAAGAGATAAAAATATTTCTCTGATGGCTGCAAGTTAAATGTAGCTAATGACTTGGTCTCAAATTTAGCCAGAAAACAGATTTGTGAAAAGTATTTAATTTTAAAAGTAGTATATATAAACACTAAGGAAAAAAACACAGCTGTCCGAAAACAGATTTGAAAACTCTGTGTACACTTCTGGAAAAGGTAGTGAGACAAGATTAATATGATTCATTTCAAGCAAAGAAACATCCTGGTACATTTGGAACAAATGAAAAATGAGTATCAGTCAAAATTACAGTAGTCCAGGCGAGAAGTTTCATTACAAATCTTAGATCTTTGATGTAAGGGAGAGTAAAGTTTTAAAGGTCAGAAGCAGTTCCTGAAAAAGCAGGAACATTCAAACTTTAGTAAAGATGAGTACTGAAAAGGACATTAAGATGTGCTATTACTCAGAAAAATGCAACTTTTGGATATAGTAAACTGCAGGATGTTAAGGCACATACCACAAATACATACGCTGATCTCTGATATAACACACATGCCAACTAATTGTAGAAAACCAACTTCCAATGTTGCAGCAAGCCAGAAACACTAAGCACTTAAAATCCTATTTTCAGATCTAGCAACCCAAAGGCATGATACCATACAACCACGCTGCAGCAGAGAGTATACTCCATTTTTTATTCCTTAATGAAACACAGCAGTTCTGAACCCAGAGCCCAAAAAGCTTTCCTAGTTCACAGAAAACAGTTCTAAGGTGGAGGGGTGCTGTAAAGCATGATTAAATTCTCCCTTCCTGAATATACCACATAGAAATCTGTACGTGGCAATTTCAGCACATCTGCATTAGTGCAGGAAAAGATGAGGGGTTCACAAAAAGGCCAAAACAAAAAAGTCACCAGTTTAAGGCATCCAGTTAAAAATGTATCTTTATGAAAGATTTGCACTCACTTACTCAAGGAGATAACTTCTTCAGGATGCACTGAAATGATTGTTACAGCGTGGGGAAAAACATAGACCGGTGTACACCAGATTGCTCATACAATGTTTAAGAAAGTCTTGTTAGACTAGGTGCAACATACCAAAACAGTGTTTCTACCAGTACTGAAAGGTAAGCAAAATGAGCTACAGTGGCAAAGTACTGATGTCAATGTAACCACGCTAGTACAGAAGAGCTGTGCCAGCATCTAGTGTCACAAACTCACATCCCATAGTAAGGATACTGTACCAACAAAAGGTGACCCCACTGTAGAGCTGTAATGGTGTCCACAAACACAGACATCTAGACAAGATACAGGTATAATTAGTGGTTTTTGCAAGAAATTGAGCATTTAAATTGAGAAAAAAAAAAGTTATAGAAAACTTCTGGCAGTTTAGAGAATCCACACAGTAGTGCTCCTGAAGCTATTCTGGAACTACGCAACACTTAAGAAAAAATGAGACCATTCAAGAATTCCAATACACTACACAACACTCACAATGCCAAGACTTTCTAAATTACTTCAAAACACTTATTACAAAGTGTGCTACAAGCATGTCAGTCACCCTGTAAGTCTATCTTGTTCTTACCTCCTAAAGAAGGAATTGGCATTAATAAAGCAACTCAAAGCTACATTAATACGTATGTTCTACGACAAAGCAAATTTGAGCAGGGAACACACGAACCATTTAAGACACTTAAGACAGAAGGAGATGCAGCACTGCAACAACAGTGGGAAACGCAGCTATATTTGGCTGCTGCCAATAAATCAAGCTTATTAGGACAATCTTTGCCGACTTTCTAGAAGAAAGGCACCAACAGTTGAGTTTAGTACATTCCAAGGGCAGAATATCAGTATCATCCATGTCTGCAGTGAAAATATGAGTTAATTAGAAACTCAACTTAGTCTCCAATATAAATACATTTAACATCTGCAAGTTTGGGAATAAGTTAGAGTCAGTCATTATTTTCAGGTACCTAACAAGCTAAAACAGTATTGCAGATTAAGAAACCAGTCAAAAACTTAACAGTAAAAGAAACACTGAAAGATCCACCATGCTCATGTGCTGGAAAAAGTTTCATCAACAGTGTAAGTTTCTTACTTTTCTCCCCCCGTCTCTCTAGTGATGCTGTGAATCTAACAGTTTTAAAAAGAGTAAGTACCTAAGCACCATGTTATTTATTTTCTATAATTAACTAAGGAGCGGGGACAATGCAGGAGATTCTATAAGTAGAATTTACTTAATGAGAGCTGCTTGCACTATTTCAAAACAAATTTAAGGAGCAGATAGATTAAAACATGTAAACTTCAAAGCAGTTTCCCACAACAGCAAAAGTGGGACAAAAAAATTGCAGGCTCTCAAGCAGCAAATGAAAAATATAACACTCAAAACACACGTACTGGTTAAGAGGTTTGATTTTTATTTAATTAGAGAAACAGATACGATATCACATTTAAAAACACAGGAAGTGGAACTGTCCCAAATCCAGGTAATAAATTGTCAACAAAAAAATAATTCAGAAGAGTAAGAATCCTCTAACAGTTTTTACATAGCATATATGAAATGTTTGTGCCACTACAAAACTCTGTATAGCTATCAGGTGATGACAATCTCAATAACTTTGAGGAAAAATTATCCCATTTGTGCACTATTGAAAGTGTCCAATACTCCCTAGTTTTTCACTATAACTGTAAAAAGTTAAACTGCTCAGTAAGCTAATAATTAGACTATTCTGTGAAAATCTGCACCTGTTAAACTAGAATACATTGACAAATTATCCAAACCTTATTTGATCAAAAATGTCTTAAGATACATGCGTTCATCTGAATCAAAATGCACCTTTACCTTTCATATCTTCAAGTATCAGGATTTCTCTCACAAAATTCATTTTTATCTTGCCTCTCTTAACAGAGCAAGATAACCACCATCAAGACAAAGTAGAAACGGTTATTACTGAATGAAGTACCAGTTTCTAAGTCTAGCATAAAAAAACCCCAACAACTAGCTCTAGCTAAAGAGCAGCTTCTCCAACCCTAGTCTACTCTCTTACTAGAGACCTGTTGATAGTAGGACTAGACATGTCCGCCAGTTACAACATAATATTGCCTATAACTAATATGCTCTACAACGTACACACAAACTTTTCAAAACTAACACATCATTCACCAAGAACAGAGAAAGCAAAAATCACTATTTTGAAGATGATTCCAAGTAGAGTCATCTCCACTGCTCAACCAGAAACCAGCTACTACAACCTTATGTTTACTATCAAATGAGGAGCTTTTTTTTTTTTTAAAAAAAAAAGCCAACTCTTTCTTGCCAGCTGTAACTGCGTTGAACAAGACCACTGTTGGCATAAGAAATGCCACTAACTCACTTGACTCTGGCAGGAGGAGGCTTCCTCCATGTCCCATAGGCTAAGAAGATCTAATGTGAGTTCAAAGAAACTCCTGCAGGACAGGTAACCAAGTACTCTCATAGCAAAATGACACCAAATACTCACCTGCTTCACAAGAAGCATTAAAAAGCTGAACAGCCCTTTGTTACTGCCTCCTCCCTCCCAGTACAACCAGTTCATATTTGCTAGGGATTGGGACACCTAAGATTTACAGCCTCTAGCTTGCCTTCACAGCATCACCAAAGACCTTTGCAGGACTGCAGAGAAGCCCCTTTATCCTCACAGCCCTTAAGTCTACAGGGGAATTTCAGACATTTTGGTCTCGCAGCAAAGAAATGGGAGATGCAAGATGAACTGCACTCCATATTGATTCTTAATGCAAATAAGGTGAAATAACATTTCATTTCTAAGAGGGTAACAGTCTTGATAACACTTACGCCCCAAGCTTGGGATCTGGATTTTGGTTTTATCTGTTTTTTCATAAAGTCGATGGCCTATTTGAATCAGAAAAGCAGTTTTTAAATAACCTTCTGCAAGGAAGAGTAAGAAGGACTGTAAAAAGTAAGTCAAATAAGCAGACTGCATATAAGAAAGAAAAAAAGAAAAACAGCAGAGAAATAAATCTCGTTTCTAAACGAGTTGTAAAAACCCCTTGTATATGCAAAATAAAATACGAAACAAGACACACATTTGTGCGTGCGAACGTACACACATAATTCAACAATAAAGTGTACAAAAGCATCATCTTTAACACTATTTTATATTCCTGCAACTGGCATTAAAGGCATATGCTTAGCAAGGAGCTCAGTCATTAACTACTGTTGTGAAAGACACGAAAATGGCAAACTGTTAAGTCTTATCTGCAGTTGATCAAAAGCACAATAAACTGCACAGCTTTGCTTTCAATCACTTTCAAAAAAATAAAAGGGCAGAAACATCCGAACACCCTCCCTATGTGCCATTAACGCCAATAGGTTCAAACGGAGCGAAAAGGGGAGAAATAGACTGACAGAAAAAAGGACGAAGGCAGGCACGAGTTAACAGCAGCAAAAGGGAGGAGGAGATTTAGGCAGAAGAGGGGAGAAAAGGGCAATAATTGCGGCACCGAGAGGTGGGGAGGGCCTGGGCCCCCGAGACTGACCTGTGCCGTCGCTGGCGGACACGGAGAGCGCCGGCGAGGAGAGTTTAGGCCGCTTGGCTGAAGGCGGGCCCGGCTCCACCACATTCTCGGCCATTTTTAATTCTTTTTTAGACAATCACTCTGAGCAGAGACACGGTGGGGGGCGAACCCCAAAACCTTCACCTTCTTCTCGGGCCCCGAGTCAGCTGAAGAACAACAATAACGCTGAGAGCGAGCGAGGAGAATCTGGTGGAGGAGGGGGGCCAAGTTCCCCTTTTTCTGCCCCTCGGGCTCCGGGAGGGCGGCAGCGGAGAAGCGGAGATAAGGTGAGAGCTGAGGCGGGGGGGGGG